AATTGAACTGTATGAAAATTGAAGAGTGTATTTAGATATATATATCAATATATTTTTATTGTAAACAATTAACAATTAAAAAATAATAATAAGATTATAACTTATTCTTCTCCTGCACAAGGCATATTTTTTATATAAATAAAAATAGTTTCATAATATACGAAACTAAAACTATTTAAGCAAAAATAGAATAAATAAAATAAAATATAAAATAAATAAATATAATAATATTTTTATATATATATATAAATATATATATATAATATTAATATTAGTAAAAGTACCAATTAAATAATTCAACATTTATATCTTTTTATTTTGCTTGTAAAATTTACAAAAGAGAAGCTTGGAAAAAATGCAATTGTATTCAAATAAAAAAATCTCCAACCTTAAAATATTATATATTTATATATCAGCTTCAATCTATTCAATTATATTAAAAAAAATGTATATCATGATAATCAAATTTGATTTTACAGGAAACACTTTTTGTATAGGCTTGAGTTACATTTAGTTAATCATCCGTCCATGGAAATATCTATGAAAAGGTTATCTCTTAGACATCATGAGATCATTTAATTGTAGAACAATAGATAGAAGTGTAAAGCAAACAATAATAAAAAAAGTAAACATATATTTTAAATACACCATATTATATTAACGTAAAGAAAATTCCTTTTTTCTTTTCTTTGCTCTAATACTTTGCGCTTAATTTTGATGAAAAGAAAACATTTGATATTTCATTAAAGAATTTGAATTTTTTATTGAATTTAATGCTTCTATATATATATATATATATATGTATATATATATATAGAGTGTGCTGAAAGGCTTTGAGCTTAACCCGTTTCTAAATTTGTTTATCTTTTTTAATGTTGTCTCGCTACGCCTGCTTGAAATATATAATGATGGAGCCACCCTCGCACACACACACACACAATGCTATAGACGATGAGAGCAGCAAAAAAAGCTAAACAAGGTGAGGGGTGGGAGTTGGGGGCGTGGACTGTCAGATGGGTAGAGTAAAGCACCGCCCCAGAATGTCATACAAATGACCCATATTAAATTTATTACGGCACAGGGAGCAGCACAATGAAATTCAATAGCTGAAAACCTAATGGCAAACAAAACAAATCGCCGACGCCTACGACTAAATACATATATATATATACCGTTTTAGATGTATGTATCTGCATATATAACTACATACATTATGCTGTCGTACATAGATTGAGAGCGGCTGGAGTGGGCAGAGTCGGGGGCAACTGTATCAAAAGCAGCTTAAAGACGCCTGGGTGTGGGTACAACTTTTTGCATTGGTTGTCGTTATGCTGTCATCCTGGCAGCTTTACCAAATTGATTTATAATCCTGTCTCGAATATCCTCAACGGCAGCTAAGGCAGCGCCAGAAGAAGTGGAAGAAAATGAGCAAGACGAAGTCGAAGCAGCAGAAGTTGTCAACGCGCCACTTTCTAAAAATCGAGACGAGTTGCTTCGCTTCTTTTAGCTTTGTTGTTGTTTTTACTTTTTGCAAGTTTCAAGCTTTGTAATGAAATTGCTTGCCAATTATTTTGCAATTAAATTGCGTAACAATTAATGGCCAAAATACAGGTTGTTGTTGTAGTTGCTGTTGTTATTTTCCTCTTGTTTGCTCACCTCAGCAGCACGTGCGACGGCCCCATTATCCAGCAGCTAATTAAGAAACGTGAGACAAATGACAAGCGTTAAAATATTGTTGGCTCAGAGCTTGACAGACAGACAAATACAACAACAACAACAATGAAACATAGAAGCAGCAATATGCGTATAAATAGCTAACAACTGACAGCTTGAAGCACTTTCAGATATCCTATAAAAAGTTCACTTGAGATCTGTACAGCTTGACAACAACTGCAATATCTAAGAACTAAACTGGCTTGCCAAAGCCTGCTAGACTAGCAGATATCCTATAAGAAGTTATCTTCAGCTGTTGGGTTCTATATCTGACACCAAACTCAGAACTTAACAGTAAACAGAAAGACGACAACAACAAAAACAAGTATCAACACAATAATATATAATATATAGAGACATGTGAAAGCATGATAGACGACGAAATACCCTATAAGCCCGAAGTCGAGAAGTTGTTATGCAATCTATAACTAAGCTCAGTTAGAGAGTAACTGAAATATCTAATAAGGACTTACCTTTACTTCAACTGCAAGCTCGACTGTTAGTTATCCTATAATTTGCTTTAGTTCTTTAATTCCAATCTAACTACCTTAAGTCTATTTTATGCCAACTCAACTTAAAGCTTGATCGACCTTAAGTCATTCTATACTTAAATATTGATCGCAGTCAGCTAATGAATTATGTCTTTTCCCTACAGCTCGTGCATTAATACACCTGGGAAATTTACTGTTATGCTTATACAAATCCTATGCTGCTGCTTAGTTTTAGTTAAGTCGACCTTGACATACCCTGTAATTTGATTTTGATTACATGTTTTTGCTAAATCATTATGAGAGAAACCTTTACGAATTTATTTTTATTTAAATATTCTCTTATTTAAAGCTGGGTTCTTTTTATGGAGAGCTTTCGACTTTAAGATACCCTTTAATTTGCTGTGTATTTTTCACTGTTTAGCTTGCTCTTGTCTACAAATCTCTTCTGTTTTAAAACCTTGAATTTAATGTTCTTTACATAATTCTCTTCAGCTTTCTTTTGCTCGACTTTGAGTTATCCTTTAATTGGTTTTCGCTAAAATAATCTTAGTTGTTCTCACATTGTTATTTGTATTGTACATTTACAACTAATTTACTAAAATTTGATCAAATTTTAGTGCCAAAAGCAGCTTGGTTTGAAGATATCCTATAATTATACCAAAATTCTACAAAAAAAAATACATTTTAAAGCTTTTGATTATTTACTTTATATAAAATTTACTCCAATTAATGTATTTCATTTCACCATATCTATTATAACAAATGTCTCGACTGATAGATACCCTGTTACAGTTATCCAATTTCTCATAAATCCTCTCAAAATCCAATTAGCTTTCATTATTTCTTGCCATTCCTTAAATGCCTTTGTACTCTCTCTATCTCTCTATCTCTTTTGTACAGGGTATCTCTCCAATTAAGCTCGTAAATATGTCAAACATAAATAAATAAATACTTTTATGTATGTGTCTATAGCAGAGAGAATCGACTTAAGACAACGCCAGAAATTTATTAATTATCAACTGGACTTTAGTGTCGACCTACACTCCACACACACACACACACACACACATACATACATACACAAGTCTATTTCGATATAGATGTAAAGAGAATTTTGCAATCAGAGCCGCTTGATTGGCATTTAAAGCTCTTTAGGAAATCTGTGTGGCTGTTGAAGGAGCCACGCTCTCGCCTCGTCTCGTCTCGGCTCGTCTGGCTGACAGCAAAAATCGAAGTCTAGTGGCTACACTGAGCCACAGCTGAGCTCCTTAACGCTGCTTCACAGTCTGACATAATCCATGCAATTGTAAATTTAATAAGAGAAAAAGAGAGAGATGGAGAGAGACAGAGGGAGCGAGAGAGAGAGAAAAAGTCCAGAGCAGCTTTCTGGACAGCTCAACAACTGAGATTTGCGAAGGAGCAGCAGAAGAAGAAGGAGGTAGAGCAGAAGAAGCAGCAGATGAAAAGGCAACCGAAGTAAAACGGAAAAGCAAGTAGTCAAGGCAATTAAGTACAGCAAGTGCGAGGAGTGGGACAAGCGCAGTTGAACCGTAAGTAGGCACACACACACATATCCATACACACACACACACATACACATATTCATATATTGATATAAGAATGGAAAACTTTCAAGTGCCGATAGTTCGCACTACGCCTACAAATGAAGGTCAGAAGTTACAATTTCGTTTCGGTACGAAACTTATTGTGGCCACTGTATCGCTGCTAGGCAAATCAAATACAAATTCGATTCTTGGCAAACTTTTGTGCAAACAATTATTGACGAAATATCTAGCTTTTCCGTCAATACATCTTTAAGTAGCGCTTAAAGGTAAGAATAAAGAGTTTAGTATGTATATAGAGATGAGTTTATAAGGACGGGCGGAAGTCTAAGATTTTATATGTCTGATCTTTAATTAGATTGGCTTTCTCATACCTTATCAAACTCTTCTCAATATGCAAACTTTGCTTTGGTAAGAAATCCTTGATACTCAGCGCCTTATGTCAGCTCTGATAATTCTAGTGATAACTTATTCATAACTTATTCATTACATCGGAAATGGTTATAGTCTATGAATGACTTATGTCTACATAGCTTTTATTTAAGTTGTCTAATTTATAAAATTGATTTTTATGAATAAGAAAGAAATAATTTATTGAATCAAAGTTTGTGAATTATGCAGCGAAGAGTATACAAAAATATAACATTCAAGTGTCAAGCCTTTAGCTTTTGCGGTTGCTGAGATCAATGGGTACAGACGGACGAGCTGCTGGATAGATGAACAGCTAGACATGGCTAGAGCTACTCCTAGTCAAGCACATGTCATATATATGCAATCAGAGTTTAGTCAAGGCTCTAACTCTATGCAGTTTAGCATGATACCCTGTAATCACCTTATCAATGGGCATATATGGTACATAGATTATAAATCAACAATATAAAATATGATGCCAAAATGCATAAAGTAATATAAAAATGAAATTAGATTAAATATTTTAAATATTATATTATTATAGGGTAATTAATAGGGTATATATACACATGCATATATACACAAATGGAAATAAGATGTTTCACAAATAGTTTGACAGCTTTTACAGCATTCCACAGTCGAAATTGTCAAATGCTGCCAATTCAATACACAATTTATCTGCTTGTCAAGCTTTGACATGAACATGTGAGCATGGACCAAAGGGAGATAACTGTATGTATGTATATAAATGCATATGTATGCGTGTTTCTAGGTATTCAAATATTAAAGCCAGCTCTGGGCATGCCATGCAAAGTAAACGTCAAATGCGAAAGGAAATTATTTCACCTCAGCTTAAATATCATAGGAGCTTCACAGCTCTAGAGAGCAGAGAGTAGGAGCATAATTCGCAGTTTAATTACAGTAGGAAACAATCACACAATATTTAGAAATTCTACAAGTTGTTAAGGACAATTGCCAGTTCGGAAAGTATCCTAAAAGGAAACTCAAGTCATGACCACAGAGGAGTTAAATTTTGTATGCGAAAAGCTGGGCAACTTCCAGTACATGGACAATCAGTTGGAATCGGCCAAGGAGTACGCCCACTGGCTGCTCTCCAACATGGAGCTGAGCTGGCGTGGCTGTCTGATACCGGGATTGCTGGGATATTTGCGTGAGCCGGGGCCGCAGCGTTCGCCGCGTCAATGCGTGAAGGCGTTGCGCGTGCTGCACGAGACGACGACGCACTGCACCAAGGTCGATCTGAAGCGCCTGGTACTGACCACAGATTTGCTCTCGCTGATGCGCGAAATGCTGCAGCTGACCAAATTGCGTGGCACCATCAAATGCTGCTGTTTGGCCTTGCTGAGCAACATCCTCGTCTCCGGCTGGCGTATGCGGGATGCCGTCGTCGAGTCGGGCCTGCTCGCCGAGCTGCTGCAAATGCTGACGCACCGCCGACGCGGCCAGCAGACAGTGCAGCAATGCGACAAGGGGCAAGTGCTATGGCTGCTCTATCAGGTGTTGCGCTACAAGGTGCCGGGCCCCACATTGAATGCCATACGAAAGATTGCCCTAGCGCTGCCCGCGCTACTGCATCATTCGCAGGACGTGGAGCTGCTGTTGCCCACGCTGCAGTTGGCGCGCCTCATCTCCGAATATCACTCGACCATGGTCCCGGCGATGGTCAAGACGAAGCTATTGGGCCGCGTTGTGCGCTTTGTACTGAGTCCCCTGCCAGAGATTCAGCGTGAGGCGCTCTTTGTGGTCGCCAATGTGTGCCTGGAGTACCGCCGACGTCAGGCACTGTTTCGCTTTCCCAAGAGCATCCTGCTGCATGTCCATGGCCTGGCACTGGGCGGCCGGCCGGACATACGTGTGCTGGTGCTGCACCTGATGGGCGGCATTATAGACAACAGGTGCATCAAGTTGGAGCACTTCGTGGAGCTCGGCCTGCTCAAGAAGATTGTCTACTGCGCCAGCAAAGATGAGAAGGACGATGCAGTTCGCCTGGCCGCTGGCTGGACACTGGTTAGCCTAGCATTGCACCTGTGTCGCTGCTATTTGGACTATTTTATTGACTGCGGCGCGCTGCACGCCATCTGTGAGCTGCTGCGCCTGGAGCTGCCTGTCCAGCTGTTGCGTAATATACTCGTCGTACTCTTTCTGCTGGGCGAGAAGCATTGCCATAGCAAACAATGTTTGTTGCACGTCATGTGGCAGTGCAACATTTGGCCCAAGATTCAATCGCTGCAGGGCAGCAACAATGCTGCCGTTAGAACTCTCTGCACACTTCTCACCTCTCGTCATGCCATGGAACTGATTTGGCCCGAGGCGCGTATCTATCTGAGAATGTAACTTTATTAACAATTATCATATTTGTATGCAAAATGTAATGAACATAAATTTATTTACACTGGTAGGGCACAAATGTAAATTGATTTGTTAATGCTGTCTCCTCATCACACAAAAGGCACATCCGATCATCACAGCAGGAGCGGGCAGACTAAATGGTTGCATTACACGAACAGCTGCTCTAAGCATTCACACCAATACAATAAAGCACTCAACCAAGATACTTTTCTCACTCAGTTCTCTCCAGCTCACGTTGAAAGATTGCGGGACTCAAGTAACGGTATCCGGTTAAATCTCCCGCTCACTCAGTACTGCTCGTCGGCAGGGCTGCCAATTTTGATCAGAAAAAGGCTGTTTTTAATGGAGGGGAGAGAGAAAAGCTGATAAATAAAAACAAGGAATAAGCTTTAAAAAAATGTTTGCATAATATATTTAATATTTTTGCTGCTTATCTATCATCTATCATCTATAATATAGATCCGTAGCAAATTTACGAAGGTAATTAGTAGGCAGCTCGTAGCTATAGCAGTATTTTCCATTGTTCCCTTATCTGTATATGCACATTATTCAAAATCAGTAAAATAGTTTTGACTAGCTAAGAATCCGTTCTATTTTACATTTGACGACGGCAAGGACAGAATTTACTTGTCTTTGGTCATCAAAAAGGCCAGATTTGGCGTAAAAGTACGAAAAGGGCAACACTGCTCGTCGCTGTAAAAAGAATCGATACTACTCAATCGTGGCTGAAAACTATCCACAAATATCAAAGCACTAACAATATCCACTCTCTTCGAAAAAAGCTTTGTGCTATCTTACTTAATGCAGTCAATCCACACATCCAAACAAAACACATATACTTGTTTGCACGCACATTTGTTTTTATTGCGCACTTTTCTCCTCTTTATTGTATTTTAAATATAGCTCGGCTGCTCAACTTGGTTTATTTGCTAAATAACTATAAAATAGGTGTTAAATTTGCAAAAGTTTAATTGCGCGACATAAAAAAAATAATTTATTTGAGTGTGGATGTTTGCTGCACATTATTTATTTGCTAACTCTACTAATTTGCTTTTAGAAAACACAAGCTAATTCCATTAGATTTAATTTAATTTATTATTATTAAAAATAGTTTTTCCAAACTCCCAAAACCGAGCGATCAGCAGCATAAGCTGAGATCATGGAGAACTAGCAATTGCACCAACACAAGTAGACAATTAGAGTAGATATTCCCGCACTCTCTTGTCTGTACTGGCTTGCTCGTGCGCTCTCAGTTCGATGCTTAGCTCATCTTCCACATTGGTGTTCTTCTTCACTTACGAACCTAGCTGCTTTCTACGTCGCCTGCGCGTCCATCTGTGGATTCCATTCATTTGCTTGCTTCTACTTTTACTTTCCCGTAACCAGGATTGTGTACATCTGCAAGAGTACACATTTGCGCTCACACTAACAAACACATAGTATGTGAGAGTGTGTTGCTTAAGTTCCACAGCATTGCGCTGCTTTTATAGAGCCTATTATTTCGAAGCTTAATATGTAACTCATTCAGAAAATTATCAGACCTTTAAAGATTTGATTTATTTCTAACGAATTTAAATATTTTAAAGTCAATTTCTATGCAACCCAAAGTAAAATAATTTATTGAAATATTTAGAAGAAAATTCGAGTTGTTTTTTTTAAATTCTTTTTGGCTTTTCTATATTTTCTATAGAATTCAATATGATTATTTAACATGCTAATTGAAAGAAATGGAAATCTATGCAAAATGCATATTTTATTTATGAATTTGAAAAATGTTGTTTCAGTTTCAACGATAAAAGTTTGTTGCAGCGATTTTCAATTTGTTTTCCTTTTTTTTCTTTTTATTATTCGCATTAAACTTTGTAAAAAGTTTTGCGGTATAAATATATGTGTGAGTCTGTGTGTGTATGCTAAGTGTGCGTATGTGTACCGGGGTGTCTGTGTGTTGAGTTTACATTTGGCAAACTAATTGTATGTAAATATGTCAAATGTGTGTCGTCAACACCTGCATGCATTAGTGTGTGTGCGTATGTGAGTGTGTGTGTATGAGGATTGAATGTGCGGTAAATGCGTGGTTGTGTGCGTGTGCCCACACGTGTATTTGTATTGCATATTGACAATTTCATAAATGCGGTAACATTTTCAATTAAATATGCGCAACGCCGCAAACACACAGCTGCACACACGCACATACACGCACGCACGCACACAGTCACACACGCCCACAAGCACCAGACTGTGCAATACCCCAGTCCATCAATCCACAGTAAGTCGATTGATATGTACACATGTGTGATTGTGTGTGTGTACAGGTGTGCAGCTTTTTGGTCGGTTACAAATTGCAAATCAATCAATAAATAATTGAAATGAAAATCATTTTGCTGGTTTCAACTTATCTTCCAATGCTGCTACGCCCTCGCCGCGCCCCTTTATGCTCTCACTTCCGCTCCACTCTCTCCCGCTCTCATTCTCTCTCTCTTCTTCCTCCTCTGCCTTTGCCTCTGCCTGCGTTACGCTACGCTTTAGTTGCGTATGCAAATGGGCAAAATTGTGTACATCTATCACTCGATTCGGATCGGAATCAGAATCGAAAGCGCCAGACAGACCAACAACACACTCACACACACGCACACATGTGAAATTGAAGCAAGAGCGAAGCGTGAGCAGAACAGCAGCAGGCAGCGGGCAGCACCCAAAAATTTCAACTCATGAATGCGTTTGCAGGTGTGCGGGATTAGTGATGAGACAACTGATATATGAATGGATACACAGACATATATATATATAAACATATATATATAAAATAGTGTGCGTGTGTTTGGTATAACTTTAAAACTTGATTTGTTAGGGCAAGTGATATTCTCTAAACTGTGATTAATTTACACATACACACACATACACAGTCACATACACTTTGTGTGCAATTGCTAAAGATTCGAAATAAATCTATGTGATTTTTTTTCTGATTGGAAAAAAGCGTTGGATTTTAAGAGAATGAAGAGCGAGCTGTGCAAGTTTCTAAGAGTAATTGGACTTGAAACTTGGAAATAATGGGATAAATAATAGTGTTGATGTTATATAAATATATAATGTAGAGGGTAATTTGAAAGGGGAAGTGGGAAATTAAAAATGGCAAACATTGGTTTAGTTAAAGACAACTCATTAGCTAACTAATTAATTAATTTTATTTTTATTCAATTCTATTTATATTTTGCACTCATTTTTTTATTTATATATATACATTAAATAAGTGTAGATAATTTGAAAGATATAAAAATTTTTTAATTTATTTATTTATTTATTTTTTAGTAAATTTGTTTATGTTTATTCATTCATATTATTATTTATTTCAGCTCTATTTAATACATTTGTTATTATTTATTTATTATTATTTTGTTATTTATTTATTATATATTTTTCATTCTTGTTTTAAGAACATTTATTTAAAATTTAAAACTTCAAACTACAAGCTAACAGAAAAAATGCTATTTAGCCTTTTTTGCGCCAACACACAGTGATGTCAATCACTTAAGCATCTCTAATGCTGTTGCAGTGGTTGATTGTGCGTGTGCGTATGCGTGTGTGTGTGTGTGTGTTCGGTTTTGATATTATGTTAAATTACCAATTTCACAAATCAATTTGGCACTTTTTCAATAATGCACGCGCGAGCGACCGAGGAGATGTTTGCCATTTTTAAATTGAAAAATTCTATGAAAAGGAGAAAAACGAAAACGAAAATGGAAAACGCTTAGACAGCGGGCACACTCGCCGCTCGAGCTGCAACTGTGTCTACGACTCTCAGCTGCTATATATATCTAGATATATATATATATATATATATATACATAGATATATACATGTACTTGATAGAGCCGCGGGTTAAATTTAATTTCAAAGTTCGCTTTTGTTTTTGGCTGTGCTTCGTTTTTGTCGTTATGCCCCAAAATCCCGCACAAATCCTTTGAGCTGGCACACGAACAGCTGCTGAGGACGCGACGGGCCCAGGACTAGAAAGCAAGCAAGGACGTTCCTAACTGTTGTTGTTGTTGTTAAGCGGCGCTGCTTTGGTTGCAGATTTACGCACCAGCAAATCGTTGAATTTATTTGGCGGGGGCGAGCTGGGCGGGGGCGTGGCGGCAGTTTCAATTTGGTCGCTGCATCGCGAGGCGTGCCAAAAACCCAAAACCGTAACCGAACCCAAAAACTGCAGTCCAAAAACCCCAAAGCCCTCAGAGCGAGGGAGACCACTCTGACTGCCACGCCCCCTCTTTTGCAGGGCAGACTGATCTTGATTGCATTTGCCAAATGCCAACACCAAACTTGCAGACACACACACTCACACACACATCCGTCAGCTGGGTGACAATCTAATCAAGCCAAGCGGACAGCGCGCGTGTGTGTGTGAGCGTGGCTACGCCCACACGATTTAAAGCCGGGCAGCCATTTGGGGTTCGCAGCAGTCGAGCCTGCTTTGTGCATCACAAAGAAGAGAAAAAAAAACAGAAAAAATAACGGAAGTGTCAGCAACTTTTTGAATAATTTACAAACAAAAATAACAAACAAGAGAGTGACTGACGTGAAGATACCTCGCAGTTTGTGCTGTGGTAGGAGAGCTTAAGTAGAGTGACGCCTGAAGTGTAGATACTCTATACCTCGTGCTGTGCTCTGCCGTGGCAAGAGATCGTAGAGCTTATAGAGACTATATAATATATATAGTATAAATAGGTCAAGCATGTTCTCTTCTACATATTTCAAACATTTCACCGAAAAACAATATACCCGGCTTACGCATTTTCAATGGGTATGCAAGCACTATCAAATTCACTTGATGCAAATGTTTTAAACAACAAACAAATTAGATTTTTCTGCACACTCTCTTGAGCTTTGAATATTGCTTTGGTTCTATTTAAACGAACTCGTTAACTGAATCATATTCATAACTCACATGGGTGTCGCTTGCATAAATCAAACTTACTTTTAGACTTTTTTTCAATTTTCGACTTTTATTTGATGTGAATACATTTTTGTTAGTTTTTTGACAATCTGCGAGTTAGTCTGAAAAACAATCTTTGATTTTCTTTGGAAAAATAAGAAGTAGTCTATAAAAATAAAATAGTTTTCCTATTTTAATTTTTTTTTAAATATATGAAAACACTTAAAGTTAGGATATTTGAACTTCGTCAACGCCAACCATACAATTTTTTCTATTATGTTTTGGCTTTGTCGTTTTTCTATTCTGTGTAGAGTAGTTTAATAAAGTGCCAATGGTGCAAGAGAGAGAGAGAGTCAAAAAGCTTTACGCAAAACAAGATACGCCATAAAATCAATTGCTGTTTGCGCGTGCCATGACCACTAAGGGGAGGGAGAGAGAGA